GGAGGAAGGGGATGCTGTCCTGGGAATGGCGGGGGCAGTAAAGAGCAGGGCGTGTCGTCCTGGGTTGGAGGGCGGAGACAGTAAAGAGCAGGGGGTGCCCTCCGGGGTGGGGGGGCAGTGTCTGTGTTTTTGCTTAAGTAAAAGTATAGGTTTGGGTATAGAAGTGAAGATTTCAGAAGGATTGTAAAAGGGTATGAAGTGATGTTAAATTCTGCAAGTGCGGTATGGAAAGAGCAGGGGCTGCCCTCCGGGGTGGGGGGGCAGTGTCTGTGTTTTTGCTTAAGTAAAAGTATAGGTTTGGGTATAGAAGTGAAGATTTCAGAAGGATTGTAAAAGGGTATGAAGTGATGTTAAATTCTGCAAGTGCGGTATTTATTCTGTTGGGGGAATAGGCTCTGTTTTGAGGACAGGTCAAGCAGCTATGTTTGCTGGTTATATTTAAAAGTCAGAATAGGGAGTGTGTGTATTAAGGGCATAAAGAGGCATGACTCAAAGAACACAGAGTTACGGTAAATGTCCATTTAAGATTAACCTGGCTTTCAGAAGGTTTTTTTTTGTTTGTTTTAAACAATGTGATTGGCATTGTTTGATTTTTAATATTCTCCACAATAAAATTACACAATAATCCTGTTCCTTTACATTTCAGGAGCATGGTTTTTGGGGTGCCTTGGTTTAAGGGTATAATGTTTGCCTCAGCTTGTTAGTGTTTAGAGAAACTTTGAAAGCCCTCTTGTTCATAGGAAGATGTAAAGCCACAAAAGGCATAAGAATGGCCATACTGGGTTAGACCAAAGGTCCATCTACCCCATTAGCCTGTCTGCTGACAGTGGCCAGCACCAGGTGGCCCAGAGAGGGTGGACCGAAGACAATGATCAAGCGATTTGTCTCCTGCCATCTTTCTCCAGCCTCTGACAAACAGAGGCCAGGGACACCATTTCTATCCCTTGGCTAATAGCCTTTTATGGACCTACCCTCCATGAAATTATCTAGCTTCTCTTTAAACTCTATTATAGCCCTAGCCTTCACAGCCTCTTCTGGCAAGGAGTTCTACAGGTTGACTACATGCTGTGTGAAGAAGAATTTTCTTCTATTAGTTTTAAACCTGCTACCCATTAATTTCATTTGGTGTCCTCTAGTTCTTCTATTATGGGAACTAATAAATAACATTTCTTTATCCACCCTCTCCACACCACTCATGATTTTATAAACCTCTATCATATCCCCCCTCAGTCTCCTCTGTTCTAAACTGAAAAGTCCCAGTCGCTTTAACCTCTCCTCACATGGGACCCGTTCCAAACCCCTAATCATTTTAGTTGCCTTTTTCTGAACCCTTTCCAAGGCCAAATATCTTTTTTTGAGGTGAGGAGACCACATCTGTACACAGTATTCAGGATGTGGGCGTACCATAGTTTTATACAGGGGCAGTAAGATATTCTGTGTCTTATTTTCTATCACTTTCTTAATCATTCCTAGCATCCTATTTGCCTTTTTGACCACCACTGCACACTGTGTGGAAGTTTTCAGAGAACTATCCACGATAACTCCAAGATCTCTTTCCTGATTTGTCATAGCCAAATTAGCTCCCATCATACTGTACGTATAGTTGGGGTTCTTTTTCCCGGTGTGCATTACTTTACAGTTATTCACATTAAATTTCATTTGCCATTTTGTTGCCCAATCACTCAGTTTGGTGAGATCTTTTTGGAGTCCCTCACAGTCTGCTTCTGTCTTGACTATCCTAAACAGTTTGGTATCATCCGCAAACTTTACCACCTCACTGCTTACCCCTTTCTCCAGATCATTTATGAATAAGTTGAAAAGGATTGGTCCCAGGACTGACCCTTGGGGGACACCACTAGTTACCCCTCTCCATTCTGAAAATTTACCATTTATTCCTACCCTTTTTTCCCTATCTTTTAGCCAGTTCTCAATCCAAGAAAGGACCTTCCCTCTTATCCCATGTATTTTCAAGGCCCCTTGTATTTTTCTCCCTTGTGTTTTTTTCAGATAAGTAAAGCCAATACTTTGTGGTCAAGAGTAACAAAGGCTACAACCAAAGGTGGTAAAACCAACACGATGATTTTTCTTGTCTATTTTGGGATTAGGTAGCAACAGTTTCTTTACCGAACTCATGTACAGTAGACTGAGAGGAATTGAAGATACGAGCTTGAGCTGGTACGATTTCACTTTTTTGACCTCCTCTTCTCCCTCCCCCCCAAAAGGAAAGCTTGTGATGAAAAGGTTGAAAGTAATTACTACACAAAGATATCTTTTTGATATTTTCTTAACAATGTACTGAAAGATTGTTGGCATTTTCGCCCTTACAAAGGATTATTAACAATTGATTCTCATAATGTGCCCCAAATCTCTCTTATTCACCCCTTGCAAGGAGGGGGATCTTACAGCTGCACTCAAAGGCAATGGGAGAGAGCTCTCCTAATGGCTTAACTACTCCAGCCTCTGCAGGATTTCAGCCAGTAAAGCGCTGTCCATACTAGTGCTTATGTCAGTGTAACATGTGTCACTTTGGAGGGGGTGTGGTTTTTTTGTGTCGACATTAACTGTAGTGTAGGTATAGTCTTATTGCCCAAAATAGGGGCTGAGGAGAACTCAACCAGTGGATCTTAAATATTTTATAATTTTTTACTCTGGCAATATCTCTGACACTTCAGCAAAATCAGCCTGAATCATATTGTCTGTTTTGTTT